TTTAGAATTATTTGTTTGATTTAATTTTTTATAAATAGCAATTACTTTTTAGGGGTTTGGGATTTGTCCAGGTTTGGCCAGCAAGTATAGCTAGGATCAAGCTTAAAGGCCGCCGCGGCTTTATTCCTCCCAGTTTCTTTAGCATAGGTGACAACTTGTTTTTTATTGTTTGATAGAATATGAATTACGCTTTAAGTTTAGTAACCTTTCTTTTTCATATACATTATTTTTATATTCGTTTCGTGGCGACATAACAATAACAATAATACGTCACGATATTATATTTAAGATTACTTCCTATTATGTATTTACATAACGATAAATTACAGCATATCATAAATCTTATCAAAGGTTATTCAACATTAAGCACCCCCTATCGCTATAATAAAAAAAGGTGCTTAATTTCGGAACTATAAAGTACCAGCTAGTTTTTAAAATTTTAATTTTTTAAAATTAATAGATTTTAAAAAAATCATCTATTATATTAGTGAGTTAAGATTTTTTGCACTATATATATTTAAATAGTACAGAGAGACCTCTCTAAGTGCACCCTCTATAAATGCACCCTTAATGTAAAATCTCTTTAAATGCACGGTATAATCTAGTCCCAGCTTATAATTGCACTATATATTTTCCTAAGTGCACATTTTTAGAATTTTTCACTATACCCCGAGGGGGGTGCATTTAGAGAGGTCCCCCTGTATATGCATTTAAATAGTATGCATTTAGACAATACCGACTATATTTAAAAAACAAAAATAAAGCTTCGCTAATAATAAATAACCAATTATATGTAACTCAGTAATCATAAACAGACAACAAACATAAATTATATATATATAGTGTATAATACATTTATTTAATCAACTATTATACTCCTAATTATGTATAATTATTATTAATGTTACAATTTATGATGACAATTGAAGTTTAGCAAATTGTTCCGCAACTTTTAGTGCATTATCAATTTCACCAACATTTGTTCCACTACCCTGGGCAGCATCATCTTTACCTCCAGACTTTAAAAACAATAAATTAACAAATAATTTAAATAATTTTGTTTGTAAAAATAAAAAATAATATTCTTCATACCTTTCCACCAACGCTTTCAGACACGATTTTAGCCCAATCAACTGCTTTTAATCCTTTATCAATTAAAGACTTGCCCACAATACAACTATGAGCTACACGGCTTGAAGTTTCATCAATTGAAAATAAGTAAGCAGCTTTGTCTTTCAGGTTTGCCTTACAGTGTGAAATACCACCAGCAATAGCCTATAAACACGATATGATAAAACATCAATAATAGTAATAATAAAAGTTGATATTTTAAGTAATTTGATGAGTTTATTCTGACCTTTGTGTTAGATCCAACATCTAGTAATTTAATTATATATAGACTGTCAGGATTTTTTTCAAAATGATTATTTATTATGTCTATAACCTAATTTCAAAGCCATTAATTAGTACAAGTCAGTATTTTATACAAGTCGAAATCATATATAATATGTGTAAATATGTAAATATATAATAAATACCTCTTTTGTTTGAGCAGCTTTCTTGGCTCTGTCAAAATCATTAAAGGCTTTTCTTAGTTCATTTAATGTTTCACGATATTCTGATTTTTTTAGTGAAGATATATTTGAAGCATCAAGTTCTTTTGATACTAGTTTAAGTACAGAATCCAATTCAGCTCCTTGTAATTTTGAGATATTATCAATTTTAATTCGGAATTCATCAGCAACCTTAATTGCCTATTGAAAACGATTTGATAGAACGACGTAAATTAGAAATGACGAAATCACAAAACTTGAATGTATATGAATACCTGCTGAGCTTCTTCTCCAGTCACAGCAACTATTCTACGAATGCCTTTAGCAATGCCAGATTCTTCCAAAATAATAAAACCTTTGATATCTCC